GAATTTTTCTTTTTTTTTTTTCAAAAAAAGAAAGCCCACCTTCCACAGAAGTGTTGGCACAGACAAGCAAACGTCTCGGCTTTTTGCGAGCCATGAGAATTTCCCGCCATTTCCCAAATGGGAATTTTCCCTCGTCCGGAACTTCGGAGTAATTCATGAACATCTCCTTGGCTGCAGCAATGTCACCGCATGATTTGTACACCTAGAAACACGTTACACATAGATAATAAATCGCTTTTCAACTACAGTAAAATAAATTTGAAGAAACCGCTTCAAATGTTTGACACCATTTCAAAATATCCCCAAGATTGGCAGAATTTTTTCAACCATCTGCTTGAAGAAAGTATTGTATGCTTTTTTCTCATATGATTTCTCATGACTCCGTAAACAATTTGATTTATAATGACATTTGAAATTTACACGGCCAAATTATTGAACATAGGAATAGAAATTTGCAAACTAATGGATGTTCGCATTTCTTAAAAATGAAATTCATGAAAACTTTCAATGTAATCGTTTCCTTCTAATTCTACGGCACTTTAAAGTTGGTCTCCGCATACCGAAAAATCCGCATTAAGAAAATGTTAGACGAGAAAACATGTCTCACATTACGAAATTATTTCACGTGACAACATTTTTATATATAAAAATTGAAAACCATAACCTACCAAAAAAATGGTCAAAATTTCGACAAGTTTTGAACTGAAACTAGAGAATTTTCCAAAATTCAATGAACAATTGTTTATTTGTCTTAAGACAAATGAGAAACATCAGTGTTGTCTTTGAAATTTAGGAAGTTAATAGCAAGAATTGTCAAGATTACTTCGATTTCATGCCGAATATGAAATTCACGGTGTTCCGCTGAAAAATCAATTACAAGATATATACCGCACTTTCAAGGCAAAACGCTTTTCACTAATAAGTTCTGTTAAGCACTGGTGACCCACTCAACTGCGATGAACATGATCCTAGACACACAAAGAAATATGCCTGCTATTTGAGAATGAGTGGTCCAACCTTTTTTTTTTTTTCAATTTCTAGGCCATACCAAGAAATAAATATCCATAAAATACAAATCCTGAACTTTTCTGTATACGGTACCTGGAGTTTTCTCAGAAAAGCAGCCACAGCGGGTCGACCGACAGAGTCAATCTTGGAGTAGTCCACCTGCAGCCTGAGGTCTGGCTTCCCGTCAGAGCCGGTGACCTCTTCGACAGTGATCAAGTCCTGACCTGCTTCCAGCAAGACTCTCAAGATCACGTACCTGGCCTGAGAATGAGCCTGAAGCCAGGCCTTCGTAGACGGCTGGTAACTTTCCAGGGCCTTGGCAAACCCGGAATACACCATGGTCAGCCAAGAGACCCTCTTCATCACTTCGGCTTCTTCGCCTTCGTATCCAAAAATACTGCAAAAAAATTATTTAAAAAATAAATTGCGGTCAAGACGAGGTTTTAACGCGCAATTCACAGTTGAACCTCGACAAGTCGAAGTAAACATTTAGATGATAGTAAAATAGCCAAATTGATTATTAATAGATTACATTTATTATAATACAGTCCTCTGTAATATGCTGTGTTGCCCAAACCGTCGTCCGCAGAAGTTTTTATTTATTAGTATTATTATTATTTTTTTTTTGCGGTCCTCGGGAAATTTTCACCATGCCAAAAGTATCGATGAAATCTGTTAGCTTTACCAGAAATCATAATAATAATTATAAATAATAACATACCGGAGTACTTCCGGAATGTGCGAAAGTTGCAAGCAGGTTGTTTCTGCTCTGCATTCCTCATACGCGCTCCCCAACGCGCCAAACTTGGAGTCGTACGATTCCCCGGGTTCGTACCAAGACGTGATTTTCGATCCCGTCAACGGGTTCACCAAGTTGTTCTTGTCAAAATTGAATCCGCCAGAAGTGTCCTTGACAAACAACTTCCCGCTTCCGTGGCCGAGCAGTTCGTGAAGGCCAACTTGCAACTGCTCGTCAAGAAATTATCGAGATGCCCCGATTTTCAGTCATTGATCAGAATATTATGAAGTAAGGATAAAAATACCTTCTGTACAGTACATTGAAACAGCATCTTGAAAATACTCTTTCGATAAACTAATCTTCATTCACAGTATTTTTCTCAGAAGAAATGATCATCTTCGAATTGGGCCAAGTTTCTTTTTGAACCAACAAAAGCAATTTAGATTCGAGTTCGTTCCTCTGCACAATTTACACACACAGGTAGAGTCTAACAAATGGTAATTTTGGCAGGAATCCATCCACAAACCTCGAAAGACTGAACCCCGTACTTCTCAACCAACTTTGCGTCATCGTCGTTCAGGAAAGAAATATCGCCGGCGATCACTTTAGAACTGGCGAAAATGACATTCCCCAACGAGACGTTTTTGAAACCCTCGTACTGTCGTATTTCATCATCTGTGAAGAAAAACGTCATTCAAATTCGCGAAAAATTGAAAAAGAAAATCGCACAATTGGGGATGTTGATGCCCGAGGGGATCCCGGAACCAGAAAATGTGAGGACATCCAAAGACGTGAAATCCGGTTTCAGGAATTTGTCCTTTTCAAACTCCTTGGGCCAGGGCATGTGATTCAAGAGCGTTTCCGCATTTTCCACCAGAGCAGAGAATTTCACAGACATTTCCTTGTTCACCATGGCGACGAAGCCCTCAAACTCGCCGCGAACCCCAGCAGGGTCTCGGTACGTCTCGATGAACCCAATGTACCTAAGCATAAACGGAGATTAAAAATATATACACGTGACTGAAAATTCATTCGCGTTTCAAGAGTGATGCCAATTTTTTTTCCTTCAGTCAGGCACGTGCTCCAGCACATGAAAATCAGTTTCCCGCACAAGGAAACTAATCCGTTCCTCGTTACGTTTCCTTCCAAGACACATGTTCTCTCTCATGATTACTTACCTAGTGATTCAATTTATTTCAATCATCAAACGACCACAATAATGTTCAAATCATTAAAGTGTTTTGCCCTCGACTCTTCTGAGTTTTCAATTTATAAAAGACTTGAATGCGTAAAGCTCATTTTTCCTCATTTCCTTCGATTTATATAAAAAATTTCGAAGTTCGAGGTGAAATTTCAAAAAAAGCAAGCCTTTTTTGGCCGAAACATTTTGTAACGTGACGCAATTTCGCCATTTGAGTCACCTCATTCGCCTTAGAAATTTTTGTTACGCGGGTTTTTTTCTTTGCGGAGACTCACTGAATTTTCCGTAATATGCTTCAGAACTTCCTATAATAGATTATTGAAAACAACCGACAACTTTCAATGCGTGCTTCGAGCAACTGCAAAAATGCGTCCAACTTCGTTCATCACGGAAACAAAAATAAAAAATGAATAGATCTACCTCGTCGAAGTATCGCGTCATCGTAGATTTTTCTGTCCCTGGAAAAATTCGGACTTTCTTGCCCGAAGTATACACTTCTCCACTCACGTTTCCACAGCCGGGCTCTTGTTCTTAATCCAAAACCGAGAACCGTCGTAATGAGCATCCAAAGATCCGTCTTCAAACGATTCTGCGTACTTGAGCAACATGTTCTTTTCATTATCATTTCCCGCGTGATCCTGAAAATCCCGAAAAAAAATTCAATAAAAGCCAAGACTCACAGGTAAAACGATAGCCCCTTAAAAAAATGCCTCACAGCAGCTTTCTCAAGTTCATCAGCAACCAGCTGCAGCAACTCATCATAATCTCCTCTGATGGTCACCACAAACCTCGAACCTTCAAACTCCTATGACGGCAATGGCGGCAACATCTACCCCAGGCAGGGCAGCAGCCAACACGGTGACGTCTACAACAGCACAGGTGTATCCACCTTCATACCAATTTTCCCGGGAACTGACAAGATCCCGACCGGGGTGATGCCGACGCCGCGCATCGCCTGTCTTTCCTTGGTTGGACATTCCCGTACGTATAGGTTATGTTAGATTAGGTGAGGTTAAATTCAGTTAGGTTAGATTAGGTTATGTTAAATTCAATTTGGTTAGGTTAGGTTATGTTGAATTATGTTAGGTTAGGTTAGGTTAGGTCAAGTTAGGTTAGGTTAGGTTAGGTCAAGTTAGGTTACGTTAGGTTACGTTAGGTTAAGTTAGGTTAGGTTAGGTTAGGTTAGGATAGGTTAGGTCAGGTTAGTTTAGGTGGGCTGTAAACCTTTTTCATCATTTGTACAGGGGAATGTCCATCCAAGGAAAGACAGGCGATGCGCGGCGTTGGCATCACCCCAGTTGGGAATATGTACGTGCCCATTTTCCCATCCACAAAGGTTATCAAAACATTGACGGTGACATCTGGTGTCAATGCTACTCCATTATCCACTGTAACAGAATGCAAAACTACAACCGCCCCTGGTAAGGGATTATAAAATGCTTTGCGGTTTAACATCTATACACTTCTGGTGTATGCTTTCAGTTACGGTGAAACCATCGATCTTGCTCACTGTTTTAAACAATTTCTCTGCTGTTCCAGAGACCACGCTATTTTCAAGTGATCAGGCCAACATTACGCTGACGATCTTGGAGGGGAAGACTAGGCTTGATGCTGAGTTCTCAACCCAGCTATTCTCTAATTGGGCTATTGGGTTGATCAGCAGGCTGAGCCTGATGGTTTTTGGTTTGGTGACCAGATGGTTGGCCTATTGCCTATAAGGAAGAAGGTACTTCCTTCTTCTTTCTGTTTTGTTGCTTCTGCATTAAAGCACACTATTTTGCATGAATCTTTCTTTGTTGCCACTCTGCTTGACCAATGAGGAAAAGTCAAGTAAAACCCAAGTCTTAAAAAGATCCTGAAGAGATTGAAATGCAAGATCTATAACACCTAAGCCTATTGTTGTGCATGTATCCACAATAAATGAAATAATGGATGGATTTGCTATCTTTAGGTCACACATTTCTTGCATGACCACATTTAAACCAAGTAAGACATAGCTGTTCAAAACATCATAGTTGCATGACTGCATGGCTTTTTGCTGGGTGTTTCCCTTGCATTTTGTCCTCAGCCTTGGTTGCTGCCATTCCTGAGGCTGGTGGAAGAGGCAAGGAGGGTATTAACACCGCCGGTGACTCCAGCATTGTCCCCTTTACCACTGCCATATCATTGGCTGAGGTGGTGAATGACCTGATCTCCTTGGACTTTGTCCCTGTTGGTTTTCCTCTTCTGGCTCAACCTGTAATGCAACTAATGCCTACTGATCCTGTTGATGAAGAAGCTCAAGATTTGGTGGTCAACATTAGTTCAGATGATTTTGTTTTTGTGAATGATGAATAGGCGTGTAACTGCTAGGAGTCCAAAAATAAATAAGAGCTTTGTACAGAGAGAAATCCTGTTGTACCTGTCATTTACTAATTTGTACTCAGGGAAAGAATTCCGGTAGTGGCAGGATTCATGAGGATCCTAGGATACTTTGGGGCCGGTCAGGAAGGGATAGATTCTGCGACCAGCAGCTCAACACGCGCTGACATATCATTTAAATCAATTGCTTCCAGATATATGTCTTTGCCTTTGCAACACCTATTGTATCCTTGCAAAACAAAAATATACAATCGCAATAAGAATTATTGTTAGTAATATTATTAACACAATGAGATAAATATAACCATTATCCCAAAAATGTAGTTGTAACTTTGCTAATGTCCTCAATGATAGATTTAAATCCAGGGACATTAGCTGGGATTTCATTGATGCATTTATCTCAATGTTTTCCAACCTTGGGGTCATTTCACAAAATGGTCCATTAATTACAGTGTAATGACAATTTGGTCTAAATTGTATAATTCTGGAGTAAGGCAATTCCTATGTATTTTCAGATGCTTGGGCATTAATTTCAGAACAATACTGTGTAATTTGCCCCTTGTCAGAGTCAACAAAAGCAAATTTGTCTGCATCTAATTCTACAACAGTATTTTCTGGAACTCTTGTTTCAATTAAATGAAATTTATTTTTGATTGTCAATTCCAGGTCTCAATTCTGAATTGATTTAACACAATCATTTGCTTCATAAACAGGAGGTCTGTGAAATTTGCAAAGCTTACACAATGCATAACCAAATTGTGGTAAAAATAAGGGTAATTCACTAGCTTGTGAAGCAAACATTTTAGCTCCTTGGGTAAGCAAGTAAGGTTCTGACAAGTTTACCTTATGTCACTTAGGCGCTCCCATATACATATCTTCCACAATCAGCACACTATGCACCTTAATTAAATCCAAAATTTCTGGTTCCCTTATCACTGGTACTATTGTTGTTATCCTGTAATGACAGGTCTCATTTGTTCCACACCCATCCATTGCTCCAATTGTCAATGGGTGCAATTTAATTAATGTTAGTAACTCATGTACAGGCAGCACATATATTGGGGACTTATTTTCTGCCTCCAACACTTTGCCTAATGCAGTATCTATACATACTCATCATAATACAATAAATTTGGGAAATGGAAATTATGTATCCAATTGATATCCAGCAACAAGGACAATATAACTTTGCTCGCCTGGTCCAATTCTAAGCCCGAACTTAATGTTAGGAACCATGACTCAGTTGTATTAGTTCCAGCTTGTTCCACTCTGCTTGCTGAACTTATACTGTTTTTGAAAACCTTGTTTGTCTGAACTTGAAATTTTAATGAAGTCAATAACTGAACTCTTTTCTCCTGGGCAACAGTACCTTTCATTTCTTCCTTTTTCTGCTGTAAAATAGGAAGTAAACCAGTATACATTGCATCTTTTGGAAGGTTTCTAGGTTCAGTCTTGATTTGGTACTTCAGGTTTTTGATTGTCAAGCAGATCTGTGTTTTTAGTTTTCAACAAGCTGAACAAAGCACTGTCAATTGTTTCATCTGCAGGGGCATTTTTGTTTTTGACATGATTAAATATTTTAGTTGTAATGATATTGGATTGTTTGACCAATTCTCCTATGTCAATTAAAGATTCTAATGTCCAGTAATTGTTAGGAATGCAAAGTGGATACATCTCTACCAATACAACACCAATGCTACCTGAAAAGTTGCGTATGGGGGACGTTTTATCAAATCTATTTAGGTTTGATGACGTACCTTTGTTGTTGGTGGGGATTTCCTTGATTGTGAGGGAAAAAGACACATCCAGTAATACAGTTGAACCCCGTTAAACTGCCACTGTTGCTTCCTGCCACTTTTTTGCGGAGATTTTTAATCCACTCCACTCTTTGCTATAGTCTTTTTCTGAGCACACTGAGACTTCTCTCAGGGCTTGTAGTCCTTCTATATTCTCTTCTATTTCTCTTTCTCTTCTATCTTTCTCTTCTATTTCTCTTCTAGCCTTTCCTTTTCTGGCTCTTCTGCAGGTTTTTTCCTTTTTTCCACTCAATACAATTTCTTTCAACAAAAATAACACTTTTTAGTTAATCTTCCAAAATTCCATATAAGATTTTTCTATCTAATTTTCCTTGACTCACAATCGTATTTTTTGTCCGGGTCTTGTCTCTAAGGTTACGATGTAACTTGACACTCAGAGGGGGATTTTCTTCAAACAAGGATGTTGATATCTTCTTTGGGAATTTTTTTGTCAGGTCCTTGCTATTTTTCAGTCTTTGAGTTTTTTATTGGCTCACTTCTCTTGACTTGGCAATGAGTTGAGTGCTAGCCTATATACTCAAGTTATTATTACTAAGACTTTTTACTGTTCTTTAGCTACGACCTCTAGCGCTTTATTGCGCTTCTTTGACACGGGCAAGTGTCTGAGGGATCTTTTTTGGGGTGGGAATGCGCTGAAAGGAATCAATCAAAGATGGTTCGTTTGACTCACTTTGGTGTATCACTTTTTTATAGTGGTACTTGCGCTTTGTTGGGTGGACAACAATGTGTGGCTTCTTGTTATTTTGTTGCTTTTTGGAATTATTTTTCTTTCGCGGAGAGGAGACGACACGGCGTATTACTTGCTCTCGGGATTTTTTGGAATTCTCACTAAGTCAATTGTTTTCAATTCAATTTCACTTCAGAATATACTTCAATATATATATATACTGATTTGTGGGTTTTTTCACAAAATTTTGAGCGTTCTTTAAAACAATTTTTTAAAGCTACTTTTTTACACAACTGAGGAAATCACCCCCAGAAAAACAAAAATTGTTTTTATCTGGTTGTCAAATAACAAAAGTCAAAACTACCGACTGCGCCAAGTTTGTTGTCTGATATTAAATAAACAATTCCAGATCGAATATATATAAAAAGATATATTTTATTCACAACCAAATTTGTTCAAGACAGATATAACAAAAACAGACAATTCTTAAGAGAATCTTGTTAAACGTACACAAGGTTCTCTGAGAAGTAACCGCGGTCGACACAGGATTAAATCTGAGGAAAATATCGTTCCTCAGCAATATATATACTTTTCAAATATACAGGTCAACAACAAGGAATGCGGATCAACAACAAAGCATTCCACTTAATATTCATGAGGGGCGCAGACCTCATGAGGCGAAATATCCATGAACATGATACACAACAATATTATATATGTGCAAATCTGTTATATCGTATATACCTCTGNGTGTACATCCATGTACATGTGTGTACATCCATGTACATGTGTGTACATATGTAGCCAGGCTGAGAGTTATTTTTAAAATTAATTCTCTGTATTTTTCTAGGAAAGTTCATTCTTTGAAATATTATTAGCATTTCATTCCGGATACAGTATATGGGATTGTTAGAGACTTTCTAGTAATTTGAAAATATGAAACGAAACGATGTTCTATTTTCGTAGTTTATAAAAGCGAGTCAGAGAATAAGATCCATGGCTCTGACGTGACGATTCTGTACTAGTGTCCTTCATCTAATAATTTTATTCATCTAAATGAAATAAATTTGATGCTGAGAAAGAAAGCGTATACTTTCTTGCCTATTTTGGAAAATCGAAGTGGGATGCATTC